CGGCTAGTGACCTCCAGGAGGAGAGTCTTCTCTGTGGAGCGCCTTTCCTCTGGAATGAGCTGCCCCCGGACCTTCCGATGCGCCCTTAAAAGTTGGCTTTTCCAGCAAGCCAACCTCTCCTGAACAAAACAAGATAAATTATTGATCACTGTTAATTTTAATTTGAATTCTGTTTTTTTTAAAAAGTAACCTTCCTTCATCTGACAAAGTAACCAAACTCTGTGACCAGTCTAAATATAAATTCCAAAAAAAAATAAAATAAAATCCAAATAAATTACCAGTGTTTCATTCTGTTTTTACATGTTAGGCAGTTGTATTAGCCTCTAAGCCACAAGCTCTCCTCCTTTGTCAGCTGAGCCAAGGAAATGATTAAGTGTTACGTCAAAGCACCTCGTATGCCCAAATATGGGAGGAAGCGTGTGTGTGTGTGTGTGTGTGTATAAACATACACACACATCCATATATGAGAAGGGAAAATAAACAATGCCCGATTTATATGTCATTAAACGTAGTCTGCACAATTTAAAATTACACTTGTAACATGATTCAAAACATTGGTGTATCCCTCCCGTCTCCGAATATATCTAGAAGATTAAGTCTTGAGGGCCTTTCTTCATACGTGGAGCAACAATGTTCATATACATGACCTGGTGTAAAGCACAGGCCCCCCCAAAAAATACCTACGCATGAAACTTCATGGGTTTTTTAAACAAGGCAACTGTGCCAATGACCATAATGAAAAAAAAGTCTGTTAGGTAAATCTAACGTTTTCATCTGAACTTTGAAATCACAGATTAGCATTTTAGGCGGAATTACCATTCTAAAGGGAGTCTTGTTGGGCATATAGGAAAACTGGACGTTATATCTTCTTAAGATTTGCTACCCAGCTTGGAAGTGACTTCTACGAATCACCAAAATGTTAAACAGAGGGTAGGAATTATGACTGCTTTATTCCCCAGTCTAGAGGTTAATTCTATATCTTTCCCCTAATTTAACCTTTCCGTCCTTAACATGTTGAACAACAATTCCAAGCAGAAAGCACTTAAGGTGACCTTGTTGGAAAAACACAACCTGGTGGTAATTAGTTCTGAACAACTATTGCTTTTAAACTACTACTGGCAATGATTGACTTAGCTCCGGAGAAGCAGAAGTAGGTAAAGTTAATACGTACCATATTTAAAATGGAAGTAAAACAACACAAGCAACTGATATGCAATAAAGCAGCTTCTTGTTCTCCTCTATATTCCTAGCAGAGGTTGTTGTTGTGTGTGTGTGTGTGGGGTGGGAGAGGATGGAGACATGTTGGGACGTTTGAAAATGAAGCTTTCTTTCACCCTCCCTCTTCTCTAGGCGAACCGAACATTCCTCAGGTTATGAACGAATTAGAATAATTAGAACAATCACACCTGTGTTGTTCTTATGATCCAGCCTGGAATTAAGAAGCAGAAACCAGTCTGTGACTTATATCATGTGCTTTGCAGAGTATAATTGACTCAATAAAGGAGGAATGAAATAGGAGCATTTGTTGGGCTCCAAAACATTTTTGTCCCATTCAAGAAACAGGGCACATCGGTAATTCTTGATAATTTTTTTTTTAAATTACTCTCTAAGGGAAGTTAAGATGCCAGCCTATGATAAATGCTGAGTTTATGAACTGTTTCTTCTATCTACCATAGAAGATAACCGTTGCCTTGATATTTATTTTTCATCAGGGAAAGGAACAATTCAGGTGTACTGTGTGAATTCACAGTGAAGCTTGGCTCGAGTAATTTATTTCACGAAAGGTTGGGTTTTCTTTGTGAGGCACCACGTGGCCAAATTTGATTTTACGACTGTTTTTATGATCGTTTTAAGAGCCGAGGTGGCGCAGTGGTTAAATGCAGCATTGCAGGCTACTTCAGCTGACTGCAGTTCAGCAGTTCG